TGTCTGATAACACATTTGACAATATGCAAACTTCTTAACTACTCAAGTCGTTGTGGGCTTTAAGCTGACCCTATTTGGGCCAACACTTTTCGGGCAATAGCCGTGTCATAAACTATGCATTAGCTGGGCCCGTGAACATGTCTGAAATACCAAAATACCAAACAAAACTACCTACACACACACACACACACACACAGCCAGAAAGCAGCCAGCAAGCAGCAGCAGGCAACAAGCAGCAGCAGGACGATGAGCTGCTCAACATTATGTGCATTTCCAATGTTTCCTGTTGTTTTGTGTCCTGCGTATGGTTTTTCGTTGGTGCGCTTCTTTGTCTTTTGCTCTTTATCTCTGACTGTGTGCCACAATGACGCGACGTATGAGTAATGAGTGTGAATCTCTCTCTCTCTCTCGTTCTCTCCATCTCTCACTCACTCTCTCTCTTTAGCTGGCTCTCTGACTTGCTGTCTTTCATTGTTTCTCCATCAGACTGGACTTTTATCTACATGGCAAATATTACGTATACGCAGCGCGTAGCATTCAGTGGCTGCCATGCCCCCTACTCCCCTATTTATACATATATATTATATATATGTGTGTGTGTGTGTGTGTATAATAAAGTGTTTGCGACTTTTTCATTGCTCACGTACGCTTTTCATGACTGACTTCTTATGCTAAGGTTTGCATTTAGCTTTGGCTTTCGGGTTCAGCTTTCTGCTTCTGTGTGTGCGTGCGGGTGTGTGTGCGTGTGTGTGTGTGTGTTAAGCAAGTGCTTTATTTCATTAAGTTCAGCTTCGCTGCTTTGCTCTGATCTGACCTGCACCCCCCGAAAAATCTTTTGCTTCAACTTTTGTGCTTAATATCCCGTAGTGCGTTTGATGCGGTTTTGTGGCGCTTTTTATTATTATAGTTTGCCTTTCTTCAAACGTCTTCAAATGCTTTGCAGAAATGTGTGTGTTTTGGCTAGAAATGCTACGAAATCGCTTGGCTTTTCTATTGTTGTTATTTCGCACAGCATATTTATGTATTTATGAGGCTATACATATATTAGATAGCTGGCAGCATTTTAAGCGTTGTTTCCCATACCTCGTAACCATTAAAATATCATGTGTGTAAAAGGGGTAGCTGTATTTTACAGGTCAAAGCAGATTACTCTGCTCACTTCTAGGATTTATTTACTTGATGAGCTGTCTGAATCTGAAGAGACTGAACGAGGAGCAGAGCTGATATTCTGCATATAGATTTTTGGATATCAACAAACATATCTTGCTAGTTTTCTTGTTTGTTTAATTGTTTAAACTTGAGAATTCCCACAAATACATCTAATAAAGGATAACTCAGTTGTTATTGCCCATGTGCAGGGTATTTTCGAGTCATCCCATCTCATCTCGAGCTGACTTACGTCTTTGTCTAGAATTCGTTGGAGCAGACATTCCAGCCTGCCTGCATATAGGAAAACAGAGGAATTTTTCCAGAGAAAGAGACGCGCAGCAGCCGAAGAAGCACCTACAACAAAATTTCGAATAGCAATAATATTTTTAGCCAAAATATTTGCAGTAAGTCCTCCGACTAGCTTGCTCCACTTCCCACTTGCCACACTTTCCCCACCGCAACACGCTCCTTTAGCTACCCAGCTCGTTATGCATGTATTTTAAGGTGAGGCGAGTCTCTGGTGCCTTTCAGTATTTGTTGTTGTTGTTGTTATTGTTGTTGTTGCTGTTGCTGTTTTGCGGGCGTCATAAATTCCTATTAATTCGTAATGGAAATTTGTTGAAAAGTAAAATTCTCCCGTTGAGTTTGTTTGAACGGAATTCGTTTATTAATATTTTATTTCAAATGCTTTGCATTGATGTGGTTTTAACGCAATGATCTTCTTCTTGTTGCTGTTTTTATTGTTTTTGTTATTATTATTGTTGTTGTTGTTGTTGGTCAAGGTGTTCAAACAACAATCTAAGTCTAACATTTCTTTTGTGAGGCTAATGAAATTCTTTGCGGCAAAATGTTATCAAATAGATTCCAGACACAGACACAGACAAGCACAATAACAACTACACTAACACTAACACACACATTGTGTGTGTGTGTGTGTGTGTGTGTGTTTTGGCTTTCTCCTGTTTCCGGACTGCCAAAAACGATTAAGATTGCTATAAATTCTAATTACCAGAGAATTACGAGTTGGAAAATTACATTTTATTATATGATAAAAGTTAAGCTTCAACTGGACGACGATAATGTATACTGAAATAGATTTACATGCGTATTCCCTAGTGCGCCAAGAGCGAACCACAAACTCCACTTAATCATGTGTCCGCTGCCGACTGCCGGCTGCCTGTACAGTAAAGCTTACCCCACCACTCCACCAGGAACAGCCGCTCCACTTTTCAACTGTATTTAAGTGCCAGAAGTGCAATTTATTTTTATGTTGTGTTTTGCGTTGCTTTTGCCAAAAATAAAAATGCTCAGCGAGAGATACAACAATACAGCAAAACAGCAGCAGTAGCAGTATTCAGCCAAAGGTTAGAAGTGGGCGGTTTGGTATGGGTGGGGGCGTGGCACTGCTGGGTCAGCTGCTGTGGCAATAAAACCAACCCCCCTCCGCAAAACTGAAACTGAAGCCTTGTCTGCGGCACTACATGAAAAGTGTTGATATATGTGAGAGATGAGCCAGACGCTACCCCAAAAAAAATGGCAAAGAGAAAAGAACACAATTTAACAATTCGCATTGTGGCATTCGTTAGTTTGTAGACACATTCTAATTGTTGCTGATTATCTAGCAGTTTAGCAGTAATTGCGTTGCCTGAAATCATTTCCAACTATCTTTTTGCAGATATTACGTATACGCAGTGGTCTTAGTTGGCACATATTGCTTAGCTCTTGAAATTCTCTCAACCCAATTTGGGTCTCAAGTTTACCCACAGGGACACTGTGTTACTGATCACCTTACGAACATGGCCATAAGTCAAAGTTACCAAAAACTTGTGCACAATAAATTAGTTTAGAATGACACAGAGACTGGCTACAAGCAGCACATGAATCACCCTGTGCAATACAAGGTGAAACATGCACAGAGCAAAGTTAATCGAATGTTCTGCAAAGTCAATCGATTTGAACAAAACATGAATTGCATTTACATGTATGCGAGACATACACACGCAACTATGCAAAGAACTTAACTAATTGCAGTATAATTTATTTATTTGGTAATTAAGTTGCATGCTGCACAAGTTGTGCAACATTTGCACACGCTTGCGACATGCCCAAAAACTAGCTGCAAAACAATTTCCAAGTCACGTTTCGAGCAACTAATTTCTAAATTTTTTAGCGCAAAGAGGTAAGAATGCGGGGCGGATGGGGTAGGATCAAGGGGAGGGGTAGGTTAAGGGGGCAAGTGTAAGGATAACCTCTACCTGGGCAACCCATAATGCCGGCAATGTTGTTGTGTGTTGTGTGTGTGCAGTTGTGCATTTGTGTGGCAATAACTCAAAGTTGGCGGCATGACATGTGGCACGTGTGCGGTTTTGATGCCCCTTCAACTGAACGCCAAGTCCGCCCATCAGAAGGCGCGACAGTCAGTCATCGGGTGACTGACAGCAAGACAGGTGCAGGTTTGACGACACTGACGATAGTTTTGTCAAACTTAAGTTGCCTCATAATGAAGTCACTGGCTGGTGGCACGTGCCACAGAGCAGTCGCTTGAATTTTGATTGAAATGTTTGTACACTGATAACGAAAAGGGAAACTGAGCGTATTATTATTGCTGCTTGAACTTGAGTAAACTAGTTTTGAAATAATCGTGAAAATCGGGCAAAACATATAGTAAACATTCACGAAACTTTTAAATAGATTCCCAACAGATGAAGGAAGGGTTTAGGTAGGGTTAAAAGGTAGATTTTGGAAACCTTTTTGAAAGAAAGAACCAAAAACCAGAAACTACACAGCAACTTATGCAACAAAAAAGTCACATGGAACCGATTAATAACCTTCACCGGAACCTTTTACACCATACATCTTAAAGTCTTAAAATCAATAACTCACACAAGTATTTTCTCCACTGATTAGAGTAGTTATCTAATTAGTCGCTTACATCCTGCTACTTCAATTCCAACTAATGTTTTGGCTTGAAGTATGCGCATAGAGTGCTCATACGCCCCGTTTGCCCCAAGGGTATCTTGTTACAATTTTGTGGGGGCACACATTTCAATTGAATGCTGCCACGCTGCATATTTCATCAAAATTCAATTGTTTCCATTTACGGGCACAGCACTCGATGCCACTTGCCACTTGCAACTTGCAACCAGTCAGCAGCAGAAGCCGGTGCTGAAGCTGAAGCTGAAACTGAAGCGGAATTCACTGCTCGCCTCCATTGTTGACCCTTTTTTTGTGTCTTGAGCTTTGCGCTCGACCAGCCAAGCGCCAAGTGGACATATATCTTTTGCAGTCACTGTGTGTACTTGCGCGAGTGCACAGAGTGCTGACTGTACTATGGACCATGCCCACTTCTAGCAAATAGTTATGCAGCAAGCACATTTTTTTACTTTTCGTATTTGTTTTTGCGCATTTATTTCCAGCTCTAGTACTGCATATGTTTGCATAACATTTCGCAGTATTTTTGACAGTATTTCTATATAAAATATATCTGGATATATATGTGTGTTGCCAACGCCTGAAATACGCCAGCAATTTTCAAGTGGAATTTCGTTTTATATCTTTGTTTTATTGCAACAAAATTCGTGAAATGCACCTTTAAGCCAAGCTCTTGTCATGTTTTTTGAATGGTATTTTATACTTTATTAGCTTGGGAAATATGTTAACTTAAAGAAATAAGGAGAAAAATACTAAAGCACAAATATTAGAATTTTCATTTGCTTGCAATATTTTTATAACCTGAAATCTCAATTTTGAGAACTTATAAGTTATTAAAAGTAAAATATTCCACGAGTGGATTCAGGGTACCTACTATTCTCAACTAGAGCCTTCTAACAGGTTCTAATAATATATAGTAATTTTCAGTTTAGCTGAGCTTTATTACTTTGAGTTATTTCAGCACTTTTATATAATTATTTCTTGCAATTTTTTTATACATTTTTGGAATACACGCGCAGTTGCTGCTTAAAATGTGTTTGGTTATATGTGTGAAGTGGGAATTGTGGGTGGCAGATGTGACAACTGCTGGCATAGACAAACGTTGATTATTATACAGGCTGGTCTTTAGAGTATGTAAGCGGCTTTGACCAGCGAAGCCTGCTTGCACATGGAGTCCTTGTGCAACTGGTATTGCAGATTGTTTGGGGGCAAACCCAAAAGAATAAGCAGCTTGTGCCCAATCTCCATGAGGGCCAGTTCATTCTGTCCATTGGCGGTCCAAATCGCTGCAAAGGATTCGCAATTTGACATGACATGCGATGTGACAACTCTCAAAAGTGGATGCCCTATTTCCCATTTTGGAGCCTTTCTTTTTTGGTTTTGTGTGTACTTACAAATTTTGTTGGTCTTGCTGCGCAAGTTGATGACAGCGCCACAGATTTCATCGGTATAATGGACCGCCTCACCAATCAGTATTAGCAACTACAGAACGCAGATCAGATGAGAAATGAGTTTTCCTGCAGCGTGTAGCATCGAATTTAACTTACCACATCTAGCCACAGTTTGTCCAACTCCATGTGGCTGCAGCGTCCAATGCTGATGACCCAGCGGCCGCCATTTTTATTAGTATCGTCCTCCCACATGGGTCTGTGCAGAATCAGAAATAAAACAACAGCAACAAGAACAGCAGCAACAAGAATGGGTTAGGCTGTGCTAACTTACTGTATGCCCTTCTTAAACAATGAGTAATCGCTACCAATTTTGAGCTCCGATGGCGGCTTAATGTGATTGTACAGACTCCAGAAATCCTCCACCATATCGAAGCTAGTTATCTCGTTCTGCATTTCTTCCCAGCTCTTGTTGCGATCATTCTCCAGATACCACAGCGTCCAGGTATGCTCCAGCGGATGCTTGTAGCGTATGGGAATCAGTTCCTGTTTACTGTTCGACTTGCTCGGCATCTCATCATCTGAGTTGGGTTTTAGATCCTGGCTGGTAGTGGATTTGCTATCCACTGCAGGCAACTCTGTATCGCTGTCGAGTATATTGAAACTATTCTGTTTGGCCAACAACATGATTATTACTGATTTATGCTCTTGATACGAATGTTAATTTTTAACACGTCTTCAAAATTTAAGCGACTTTATTTCCTTTTACAGCTCGCTTTCAAATACTTTCACACACAAAAACTAACTGAACTTTGCTGTCCACATTGACAGCCAATTTCTCAGCTTGCTGACAAACTTTATCAGTTCCTATAATATACATATTTATGTGTGTGTGTGTGTGTGGTGTGTTTGTGGGATATATGAGCACGTAAATAATAAGCTAGTCATTCAGCATGTTTAAGCACTCATCTCCCTAATTCAACACTAAACATTTTATTCCCTTATGAGTGGCAATTTTGTGTTGCTTGTCGCCAGTCGTTGACTTCCGGGAGGTGGCAGCGATAGGATCGAATGCCTTATGCCTTCACTCATATAAAAGCGTTAATTTTATGACACAAAAACACTTTGAATGTGTCCAAGTCCCTGGGCAAAGTTTATGCACTTAAACCAATTGACCTGCTTGCACGCAAGTACCTATACCCTGTAGCTAAATGGAGGTTATGTTTTAAAAGATGGCATATTTTCTACAGTCAGAAATCTTTTAGTTTAATTTTCAGTGCCATTAAGTCATATTTTACTCTGTGAAATATCTATTTTAAATGTACTTTAATGTTGATCGAAAATGGGGTTTTAATATTGAATTTCAGTATTAAACTAGAGTTCAAATCATGACCAAAAGATGTGACTTTTGTAAATCGGTTTCGTGTGATAAAGTTATGGCATTTAAATATGTGGACCAAGTTATGATCAGAATGCCTTTGCTTTAGTTATAAGTTAACTTGGCAGTTGGCATCAAAGAAATTCTACGGTGACCAGTAGTTCATCCAACTCAGCCAATTCGTGGAGTTGCTGTGTGCCACAGTTCGATCAGATTCGGCCTGACTGTTGATTAAGTACAACACAAAAAAGGTTCTCAATTTCATTAAATTTTTCTTTTATTATTTTTTTTTTTTTGGTGTGCGTCGCACACATTTAAAATACGCGGAGTTTACGTTAAAATTTTATTGTCTGCGTTATTGAGCCGCGTAGGATGTAGTCCAATGGCCACTGGGCGATTGGCAAACGATTTAAATTGTGGACTCTGGACCGTGTGGTTCACTCAGCTGTGGTTTCCGTAACACATTTTACGCCATTGTGTTGGGCATGGTTCATCGTCCGGATTGGATGATGTGGACGAGATATGCACAATACACAGAAGGTTTACGATTCATGCCACTCATCGACAGGATGCGGGATACGAACGCATCATTTGAGCTCTTCCTCGCAGGACTGCGCCTCTTTCCACTTATTGTTGTTGTTGTTGTTGTTATTGCTATCTTGCAAGTATGCAGGCTTCAGAGAAATGACTCTATCTGAGAGCCGTTCGCGTGATTCGAAGTACTTTTGCGGTTTATTTGACCGAGGGCACAAAGCAATCTACAATCTGAAAGCTGATGCCATTAACCAAATATTAAGTAAATACAGTAACCAAAATAACGGCCTGCCTGCATATATCCTTGCAGGAGGTTATTTTAATTTTGTTTCAAGTATCAACTGATGATGAGTAGTAGAAAATTAAATTTCTGTTTATAAATTATGCAAAATTCTCCGCTAGACAATTAAATCTAGATTTAAACGGATGAAATCCAGTCTGCCAGAGTATATTAATCCAGTATCGCTGTTCATTTCAGTGCTGTGTGTGGCAACACTGGTGGCAACATCAGTTGAAAAACGACAATTGTCAGTTTGTTGCATTATCAGCGCTTTACGGCTCATTTGCGTTTTAAACATGTGTAAATAAGTTAAGACGCCAGCCCATCCCCTCAACCGAACCCGTCGAAACCAGACCGCACACGTCATGGGGCAGGATATGAGCTGACTGCCGCCAGCCAGCTGATCTGACAGGACGTGGAGTCGACGGCGTCGACTCATCGTTTTCACACTCTGCTGCAATGTCGTCCTGTGATTTATGAATTTTTCCAAAATGCTGCCAAACTGTTGCACTTTATTCGCGCATATTTAATGTGCATAATTATTTTCACATATGTAAGCGACAAACTACATATACATATGTAGCATGCCTGTGTCCTGTTTCGGTTTGAAAATATTGCCATGAAGCCTTATTAAGCACTCATTACTCACACCAAAACCAGCCAACAACTGTAACAACTGGCCAACAAACATATATATATATATATAAATACAGAGAGTACCTACATATATTTATTATCATTTAAAGGCTAGTTAGTCCCCTGCCCCTCGCTTCCTCGGTGGTGCTGTCCGCTGTCAGTTGTCTGTGGTCAGCAAAAATGTCTGCCCCCGCAGTGTGGCACAGTGTATGAAAACGTTGCAGGACGAGACCGCAATATTGTGGCCCAAAAGTGCAAGCTGCAATAGATAATGAGAGCAGAGCAGCAAGTGCCGCCTGGATAAACTATTAATAACTCAAATGGCAATCCAAACTGAAAGGATAATGCGACTTTTACAGATTTTTCAAACCGAGTAGTTAATTAAATTGCAAAAATTATAATTGAATAAGTTGAACATTTATTTTTTTAAATAATACAGAATAAATCATTTATTTAGATCTCTGATTGTAAATAGCAGCTAGTGAAATACCAAGGAAGCTATTGCTATAAACACTTAATGTCCTATTATAATAAATATTGATATTATTTAATTTAAGAAGCTACAAAGTCAAGTGTTCGCTATTTACATTTTCATCGCTTAAACCAAAATCAGTTTGTTGCGCAAACTTTCCAACTTTTTTTTAAATGTTGCCCGCTGTTTTTTTGCCAGTGCCAATGGGACCGCCCACGTCGCCATTGGATTCACATTCACACTTTGTTTATTTATTGCTGCATTTGCATTGTTGTGCACACCAAAAGCAGACAAAAATATATAGATAAAGGAGACAAAAAAATAGAAGAAAAAAACAAACTGAAACACACACAGCACAATAAATTTAAAATCTAATTACGCGCACCATTTAATATCGAAACGTTGGCGGCGGAAACGGAACTGGATGTGGATGTGGGGTGTGAGGTGTGGGGGGTGGGGCTGGGGCTGGGGAGTGTTAGATGGGTGCAATTGAAAGCCAGCACAGTCGAACCGAACGTGAGCAAATAACGGCCAAACTTGGTAAATGGGCAGAAAGTGAAAAATACCGCAAACATTTAAATAGATGAGGCGCGACCGAAATTTTCCGAAGGTATACGAAAAATCTAATTACAAATTTTGATAAGCTAACAGCAAGAAGAGGAAGCAGCAACGACAGCATCAGCAGTAGCAGCAGCAGCAGCAAGTTGGATACATTTTTGAAGTAGTTCTCATTATCTGGGCCAGCAAATTTAATAAAATTGCCTGCGGTTTAGTTTTTGACTGGTGGCTAAGGGTTGTTGGTGAGGGGAGGGGGGTGGCTGATGGTAGATGGGTTAATGCTTGCAACACACTTTATACGCCTCTCTGTGTGTCAGACACATTACAGTTTTCTTTGGCGCATATAATTTGCACAAAATAGGGCAGCACTGGCTGGAAAACTGCTCCGACCGCAGCCCACAGACCCAGCAAATGGTCAACATTGCTCAACTTGTGAAAAATACATTATGGTCTAAGTATTTAATTGCACATATACACAACTTTGTGTGTGTGTGTGTGTGTGTGTGTGTGAATGTGTGCTTTACAAATTTAAGCCAAAGATTTTGACCCAAAAGCTTTAAGCCCAACAGTTGCAACCCAAAATACTGGGCCACATTTTGGCTGACCAAACCAAAACGCAATTAAAACTAATAATTAATACGCCTTTTGGGGCACAGCCTGAAACTGAGCCGGAGACTGATGGTGAGGGGGTAAACTGAGCACACATTTGTCAAAGCAGCCCAATGATCTGCTACCGACTCGAACTCGAACTCGAACTGCTTTTTGCTTGGCCATCTAATAAAATTATGCTTCATTTATATGCAGGTTGCGTCATTTGACTGATGCCTACTAATGACTTCCTAACAATTTTTAATATCTATGCAAATGAACGTAAATTGCTGGACTGCTTCACGCCGCAGCCCACCTCACTCAGTCTCTAAATTGTAATCCCTCCCCACCCATTTCACTGCCCCTCTGGTTAACCGTTTAGCCAGCGCTAACCGCCAAACACGCCTAAGAAACGGCGCACAATAAACACAAACACAAACAAAACAGAATACATACACACACAGCGACTGCTGTCCAAACTGTCCTGGCTGTTCTGGCTGTCCTGGCTGTCCAGGCCAACTACCAACTGCTCTCAGGCGTTTAATTAAATGACATTATGGCCATTCCGCTGTCGGCCAACGAGCCCTGAGCCTTCGAGCCCTCTGAGTAGGCCGTGAAAAATGCTACAACTTTGCCTACTAGCTCAAGTTCCCAGCGGAACGTGGCGGAGGAAGCAAACTGACTAAAATGTACACGGGGAGCTGTATTTCAATTGTTTGTTATGTGTTTGCTCAGCGTTGCCTCATCATGATGCTTATGGCCACAACAAAAAAAAAAACAAAACAGCAGAAAATAGTAGACAACATTGTCAAACAGTGTGTCGACTAGGCTTAGCACCTCGGCAATGTTGGCAACTTCACAAAAGTTCACCATCATCAATTTTGAGTGTGATCTATGCTGGGGAGCACTTTAACGGAATATTTTAGGAATTGCTCAAGCATCAGATAGGTGATACAATCTAAAGGCTGCTTAAACATACCGATTGAGCAGTTATCTAGAGTAATAATGATAAATAATGAATATTAACTATTTCATCAATTTATTTAAGTTTATACCCTGAACAAATATTCCATAAGCAAATTTAACTACTCAGATTGCAATGCGTAATCTAAGTAAATATCTAACACTTATCTCAGCTGTCAGCTGAATTGCATGCTTATTTTCAATTAAAGTTAAGCCCTTAAGCAATTACTTAATTCGATATCTACATATATTATATATGCAATTGCTGCATTTCTAATTCGCTTTGTTGAGGATATTTGCAATGCAAATAATCAGTTTCATGCTACAATTTAGCACGTCCAAAGCGTTGGGCGTTGGGGGAAAGGAGAAGACAAACTAAATC